CAAACATCGGCTGTCAGAATGTGTGTAGGCGGGGCAGCGTGAGGAACGTGAGGGGAGCTAGGCTCCTCTCACAGTCCGCCCTGAAGACCGGAACGGCGCGGGAACACGGCGAGAGGAACGCGCGGAGCAAAGGTAAGTGAATTGACACAGGGGGGACTTGGCTTACTACTTAGGGGGGAATAGTACTGTGGGGGATGAAATACTATATGAGGGATGAATTAATATGGGGGATGAATTAATATGGGGAATGAATTACTATAGGGGGGAATTACTATAGGGGGGATGAATTACTATAGGGGGGATGAATTACTATAGGGGGATGAATTACTATAGGGGGATGAATTACAATATGGGGAATGAATTACTACATGGGGGATGAATTACTATATGGGGGATGAATTACTATATGGGGGATGAATTACTATATGGGGGATGAATTACTATGGGGGATGAATTACTATATGGGGGATGAATTACTATATGGGGGATGAATTACTATATGGGGGATGAATTACTAAATGGGGGATGAATTACTATGGGGGATGAATTACTATATGGGGGATTAATTACTATGCTTACTATGGGGGAATATTACTATACTTACTATGGATGACACATACACATCATTCATCTACTCTTGGTCCGGCCCCCGGGTCCAATATATGAACCCATTGCGGCCCTCAAGTCAAAAAGTTTGCCCACCCCTGTTCTAGACCCTAAACAATGTCTTAGGTATTTTAGATAATGTGACCCAAGATTTATACTAGAAGCCCTCTCCAAGGCCTTTTCCAGGCATGCATGGCTATTCTTTTGCGTTGGAAATCAGAAACTCCCCCTACTATGGAGGATTGGAGGCAGAATATTGTAAGCTCGTAAGAGTAGGGCCCTCTTACCCCTCGTACATTGTTTGTTGTTGTTGTACTGTGCCATGTATTGTCCCCCCTATTGTACAGCGCTGAGCAAACCCTTTGGCGCTATATAAACTCGTAGTAATAATAATAATAATAATCTTGCGATACAAACCATATAAATGCTGCGCTACATTCAAACTTATTAAGTGAATGTGGAATCCAATGACACAAATCCAATATAGTGACAATAATAATGAAATAAATAATACGTGCTTACTAATAACAAAATTATCAAATAAAACACCCAAAAAGATGAAAAAACACAAACTTAAATCTATACACATGTGCATAAAAATACACATAGATATAGTTACATCACACGTGCAAATGTGAAGTGAAATAATGGTTGCTTATTAAACGCAAACAAAAAGTCCAATATAAAAATATTGAAGGTGAACAAAACTGTAAACGGTGTTTCCAATAATACTGTAAAGTGACCACAGGTGAAAACAAATCGTGCAGGTATCTGGGTGTAGATAGAGCTTATGAATCCAACCACCTTCTGGATTAGCCTCTCACCTCATCACTTCGACCCTTGCGGATCAAAGAGCAATAATGGATCCCTCTCACAGATCCTCCAGGCACCACAGCACTCCAAAAACGCTTTTCAGGATTTAATATTCCCACTCAAGCTCTTCTCCAGGTATAGGTGAAATATCAATCTCTCAGAACAAAACAGATGAATCCTCCCATAGTGTAGTATATTTTATTATACCATAGGAACATAGGAACATAAAACTTTTTGGTAAAAAATTCCACTTACATAGCAGCCAGTCCACATGAGACCCTCATGCTCTCAGATGAGATGAGGATATATCTGTGTTTGTTGGGTGTACAGCTGAATAACAGGTGTACCAAGATGGCCGCCACGCCGGAAATACGTCACCGCGCTTACGCCGACGCGTTACGTCACAATAACACGTGACTTCATCAGGAGCCCTGATGAAGTCACGTGTTATTGTGACGTAACGCGTCGGCGTAAGCGCGGTGACGTATTTCCGGCGTGGCGGCCATCTTGGTACACCTGTTATTCAGCTGTACACCCAACAAACACAGATATATCCTCATCTGAGAGCATGAGGGTCTCATGTGGACTGGCTGCTATGTAAGTGGAATTTTTTACCAAAAAGTTTTATGTTCCTATGTTCCTATGGTATAATAAATATACTACACTATGGGAGGATTCATCTGTTTTGTTCTGAGAGATTGATATTTCACCTATACCTGGAGAAGAGCTTGAGTGGGAATATTAAATCCTGAAAAGCGTTTTTGGAGTGCTGTGGTGCCTGGAGGATCTGTGAGAGGGATCCATTATTGCTCTTTGATCCGCAAGGGTCGAAGTGATGAGGTGAGAGGCTAATCCAGAAGGTGGTTGGATTCATAAGCTCTATCTACACCCAGATACCTGCACGATTTGTTTTCACCTGTGGTCACTTTACAGTATTATTGGAAACACCGTTTACAGTTTTGTTCACCTTCAATATTTTTATATTGGACTTTTTGTTTGCGTTTAATAAGCAACCATTATTTCACTTCACATTTGCACGTGTGATGTAACTATATCTATGTGTATTTTTATGCACATGTGTATAGATTTAAGTTTGTGTTTTTTCATCTTTTTGGGTGTTTTATTTGATAATTTTGTTATTAGTAAGCACGTATTATTTATTTCATTATTATTGTCACTATATTGGATTTGTGTCATTGGATTCCACATTCACTTAATAAGTTTGAATGTAGCGCAGCATTTATATGGTTTATATTCACTTGATCACTGGTATATGATTTAATGCTAGCAGCTGTTTGGGGTTCATATATTTAATTTGTTTTAATTGTTTAAACACATTATTTGGAGCGCAGGAGGGTCTCACCACTATTGCTATAATCTTGCGATACAATCGCTTAATTTACCAACATCGCGGTGCCCAGGCAAATTTGAGAAACTTTGGGAAGCATGGTTGGCCACTCTGGTTTTAGCCCCATTGGATTTGACAATGCATAGGCTGTTGTAAATATCCTTTCAAGATGTGCTTTGCCTGTTGTATTATTCGCTTCGATTATCATGTAGGAAGATGTATCTGCTGTATTTTCCACTGGTCCACTGTTGGAGGGGAACATCTACTGCACTGTGTGTGGGGTTCTGCGTGTGCCTTTACTGCATAATAATACCACAAACTTCTTGTACTTGTTTGTTTATTGGGCAACTGGTAACAGTGGAAATTTTTTGTTAGTACTTTTGTTCTGTTTGTTAATGGCTGATTCTTTCATATTGTGTTATATTTTGTACTGCATTCTGTACTATGCATGCCTTAAACATTAATAAATAATATTTCTAATTAAAAAAAAAAAAGAAAAACTAGGAGGGTGCTACATTTGCATTAGATACGCCAATAGTGAGACCTCCCTGCCAGGATTCCTGACCGGTTCCTGCACAGCTAGGAGTTCTGGGTATCCAAAAAGTGGCAAGAGGCTGCAGTCCTGCTAAAAACCACAGTGACAAGAAGCTACAGTCCTACTAAAAAACACGGCGGCAAACCTGCTGAAACTGACTGAATGAAAAATCAGTATAAAGGAATTCAAGGAACAAAAATGGATTTTGTAAATTAAAGTTCAGCCAAAAGAAAAAAACAGAAACATGAGCACAAGAGACATAACTTACAGTTAGCAGGATGTGTCCTGTCTGCTAATGCCTCTTTTAACTAAAACTCTACTCCTTCCAGACACTACAGCTTATATGAAACAGTATCTATGAGCATAAGGGGCAGATTTTTCGATTATCCACTCATCCTCCAATCATAGATCATGTTTGATTAATTCACAGTCAGGGGCGGACTGACAACTCATGGGGCCCCCGGGCAATAGGGGATCATGGGGCCCCTGTGTTCTTGCCCAAACTCAAAAAAGCCTATGAAAAATGTACCAGGGGCATCTCATGGGGCCCCCTACTGACCCCGGGCCCTCGGGCAGTGCCCGAGTTTCCACATGGTCAGTTCGCCTCTGTTCACAGTATAGTGCAGCTTCTAAAAATAGAAAGGCAGGGTGGAAAGGACAGGCATGGTCAGGCTCTCTGAAGGATTACACCAGTAGGTGTGGGGGGGAAGGAAAGGAGAGAATTTCACCTAAAAGAGGAATATGCACAAGGGACATATCCTACCGACTGTAAGTTATGTCTCCTGTGTTGATTTTTCACTTAGGCTTTAAATATACAGTATATCTGAAAACAAAACTTTTATTTTAATTTTGGATGGAGTAGGTAGCATTAGAGCCCCCGTCTATGCCCCATTAAGCACATTTACCCTCTTTATTTGCCTTGTTGAAAGTTGTCCCTGGGACAGAAAGTGATGGGAAATCCAAAATTGTACAGCTGTCACCACAACAGGAACATGGAGGAAATCCTGTCACCTGTAGTCCAAACTTCCTAAGAGGGTTTCCCCTCACTTTTGGGAGATTTGCTCTCACTTCCTGTTGAGCCTCTGGGAGAAGAAGTGAAGGGAAATCTCTTCACAATGGGATACAGAGAAAAAAAAGGAAGTATCACAATATATCCCTAACACTGGCAACACCTAAACCCATAATTTGGGCACCCCAGGTTTTGAGGGTCTAACTGTGCAGTGTTATATATATATGTAGTTCATGTAGATCAATACTGTGTGTTGACTTCCTTGCATATAGCTATGGCCTACACTACATACTTTTTTGTTGGGCCTTGTGGCCACAGAGCACCCTGGATTTCTTCCAGTAGTGTTTCCAACTAAACAATTCCCATGGTTTTACTGAACAACCTATCAGGTGGCCTCGATATTACCACACAGGGGGCACAAAGCAGTGTCCATTGGGCTTGCAAATAGCAACTTTGAGAAATCAGCATTTATTAAACCCAAATTGCTATAGGGAGACATTCCTAAGGTGGAGGTATATGCGACACCTTATGCTCTCAGTGACAGCAGCTGCTTATTGTTTCCAGATATGCATTTTTTCTTGTATATGCAGTAGAATATATGGAAAGACTTATCTTGATTCATACCTGACGAATGTAGTACAGTATGTTTTACTATGATTACTACTCTATCAGCCATGGATCTGACATACCTGTAGTTCCTCTTCAGTCCCGGCACAGAAGCGATGCACAGGATTCGGGCAGAGCATACTGCGATACAGGCCTCTACTGTTGGCTCATTTCTGATACTGAGGAGGCAGACCTGACCCACATATCCATCGCTGTTACACACCCAGACCTCATGGACGTTGTCTGAACTGCTATGAATGGGGGAGGCACAGGAGAACTGTCGGGAAAAGAAGCAGGTCAGTGAGACGATATACAGTATGAAAAGACATTCAGGTTTGTCCAGTAAATCAGCCCTAAAAAAAATAAGGATGGCCTATCTACTAATGGTAACCAATCACAATTCACTTAACTACTGACAGGTCAATAATTTATTAGATTTGATTGGTTGTTCTGGGTTCTGCATTAACCAACACCATTACTCTTTACATGATTTTTCCTGAAAAAGCCCAAAGGTGAGAGATACACTCTACACTCAAATATAACAAACAAACCCTAAATATATATTAATAGTTCATCTCTGCAATGTAAGCTAAGTGATATACAGTGAGGAACAGAAGTATATGAACAGCCTGTGATTTTGCAAGTTCTCCCACTTAGAAATCATGGAGGGGTCTGAAATTCACATTGTGGGTTCATTCCCACGAGGTGAGATCTTGCATGGAGCCCCAGTCCGAGGGAGACTGACAGTCGTCTTTAGCCTCTTCCATTTTCTAACAATTGCTCCAACATGATCTATTTTCACCAAGCTGCTTGGCAATTGCCCCGTAGCCCTTTCCAGCCTTGTGGAGGTCCACAATTTTGTCTCTGGTGTCTTTTGACAGCTCCTTGGTCTTGCCCATGGTAGTAGTTGGCGTCTGACTGACTGTGGGGTGGCCAGGTGTCTTTAAAGAGCTCAGACAGGTGCTACTAAGTTAGATTAATGAGTGGAGTAGAGGTGGACTTTTTAAAGGCACAGTAAAAGGTCTTTGAGAGCCAGAATTCTTGCTGTTTCTTAGGTGTTCAAATACTTATGTTCAGCAGTGCAAGACAAATAAATTCTTTAAAAATCATACAATGTGATTTCCTGAATTTTTTTTTTAAATTCTGTCTCTCAGAGTGGGAATGCACCTACAATGTGAATCTCAGACCCCTCCATGATTTCTAAGTGGGAGAACTTGCAAAATCGCAGGGTGTTCAAATACTTCTGTTCCTCACTGTATATACACAGTGCTCTCATCAGCATAAACGAGTACACCCCTATTGAAAAGTAAGATTTTAATCAATATTTCAATGAACACAAAAACAATTTTCACGATTTTGACAAAACTGAGTTTTTTATAGAACATTTGTTTAGCTCATTACATTAACGTAAGTTAAATAATATAACTTAGATTTCAAGATCTTCAGTTTTACTCAAATTATTTGATGCAAAAATGAATACACCCCACAACAAAAACTACTCCATCTAGTATTTTGTGTGACCTCCATGATTTGCAAGGACAGCACCAAGTCTTCTAGAATGGAATGAACAAGTTGGCGACATATTGCAACATCCATCAGTGTGTGCAAACCTGGACAAAAACTACAGGAAACGTCTGACCTCTGTAATTGCAACAAAGGCTTCTGTACCAAATATTAACACTGATTTTCTCAGGTGTTCAAATACTTCTGTTCAGCAGTGCAAGACAAATAAATTCTTTACAAATCATACAATGTGATTTCCTGAATTTTTTTTTTTAAATTCTGTCTCTCAGAGTGGGAATGCACCTACAATGTGAATTTCAGATCCCTCCATGATTTCTAAGTGGGAGAACTTGCAAAATTGCAGGGTGTTCAAATACTTCTGTTCCTCACTGTAACAAATATGTTTTTGTTATTTTAATGCAGATATATACCTGTGTGAAATATGATAAAGCTGCCTATTAAGAGCCTAAAACAGAAGCGATCAGCCTGTCAGAGTATGTGGAATAACAAAATCTGAAACTGGGATCAACCAACAATACAATCCTGCACAACTATTTATGTGTGCAAGAACAAAATATCCCACAATAATGACATACAGACACTAGGATGGGCCCTACATTAATGCCATACAGACACTGGTGTGGACCCTACAATAATGCCATACAGACACTGGTGTGGACCCTACATAATGACATACAGACACTAGTGTGGACCCTACATTAATGACATACAGACACTAGGATGGACCCTACATTAATGACATACAGACACTAGGATGGACCCTACATTAATGACATACAGACATAGTGACCCTATACATACAGACACTAGTGTGGACCCTACATTAATGATATACAGACATACCTTAATGACACTAGACATACAGACACTAGGACCCTACATTAATGACATACAGACACTAGATGGATCACTAGTGACACTAGGACCCTACATTAATGATTACAGACACTAGTGACCCTACATACATACAGACACTAGTGTGGACCCTACATTAATGATATACAGACACTAGTGTGGACCTACATTAATGACATACAGACACTAGTGTGGACCCTACATTAATGATATACAGACACTAGGATGGACCCTACATTAAATGACATACTGACCACTAGGATGGACCCTACATTAATGACATACAGACACTAGGATTGTGATCCTACATTAATGACATACAGACAGGACGTTAATGATATACAGACACTAGTGTGGACCCTACATTAATGACATACAGACACTAGGATGGACCCTACAATAATGACATACCCTACTAGGATGGACCCTACATTAATGACATACAGACACTAGGTTGTGCCCTACATTAATGACATACAGACTTAGGACCCTACATAATGACATACTGATAGGATGGACCCTACATTAATGACATACAGACACTAGGTGTGCCCTACATTAATGACATACAGACACTAGGTGTGCCCTACATTAATGACATACAGACACTAGGATGGACCCTACATTAATGATATACAGACACTAGGGTGGACCCTACATTAATGACATACAGACACTAAGGTGTGCCCTACATTAATGACACACTGTCACTATGGTGGACCCTACATTAATGATATACAGACACTAGGATGGACCCTACATTAATGATATACAGACACTAGTGTGGGACCCTACATTAATGATGATATACAGACACTAGGATGGACCCTACATTAATGACATACTGACACTAGGATGGACCCTACATTAATGACATACAGACACTAGGATGGACCCTACATTAATGACATACAGACACTAGGATGGACCCTACATTAATGATATTAATGATATACAGAGACTAGGGTGGACCCTACATTAATGACACACTGACACTAGGATGGACCCTACATTAATGACATCCAGACACTAGGATGGATCCTACATTAATGACATACAGACACTAGTGTGGACCCTACATTAATGATATACAGAGACTAGGATGGACCCTACATTAATGACACACTGACACTAGGGTGGACCCTACAATAATGACACACAGACATTAGGATGGACCCTACATTAATGACATACAGACACTAGTGTGGACCCTACAATAATGACATACAGACATTAGGATGGACCCTAAATTAATGACACACTGACACTAGGGTGGGCCCTACATTAAAGACACATTGACAGTAGGGCAAGTGGCACAATAATGACACATTGACACCAGGGGACATCCCACAATAACAACAGTGACACCAGGGGACATCCCCCAATAATGACACGTTGACATCAAGGGACATACAACAATCACACACTGACACTACAGAATATCACATAATAATGCCACACTGACATTAGGAGAAGTTCCACAATAATGACACACTCACAGAAGAGAAGGTCTAACAATAATGATACACTGACACACCATAGAACCCAATCGTAACACTAACCACAACATGTACAAATGACAGTTGAATGATTCCCAACACTAACAAATCATTAGTGGACTATAATCACAGCTGAACAGTTTATCTATATGTCCTTTTGGGCCTGTGTCTGAGGAGTCACAGTAATTGGGGAAGGCATCAAAGTGCAATTACAACATGAGATTCCTTGTTCTTCATTTACTATTTTTCTTCTCTTTTTTGGGTATTTGTGAATAAATCTGAAAGCAAAAATCAAAGAGAAAGGATGAGGGCTGCATAAGCCTCTTCCTCTGCAGGATCTTGATTGGTGGTCTGCATAGTGCAGTGAATTGCTGAACATAAAAGCAAAGCACAAAAAGACAGCATGTATCCGCCAATGGTCTGAATTTAATAACTACAAGAATGTGGTTGGGAGCCTATGGGTGGAGCCTGTATGAAAGGCATCACCAGTGACCGGTCTCTTGAGTTCTAAATACATCTACACACCTGTCACGTTGCTCATGTCTGGTTCAGACACAGATAGGGGGAAAAAAATCCGCATTTCAATTCACTGCATTTATGGAGTGATATTTTCTTGGAATTTGCACTTGAGGAAAAGCAAGCAGGAAAGGGAAAACAATTAAGGAAAAAATGCAGATATTTTTCTTTAGCCATACCTGCATTCCACTGCGTGTCTTCATGATGGGGATGGCCTTCAGGAATTCTGGGTCTAGGCGGTTCTTGCTGGAAGCTGCGAAGAGAAGAGAAGAATCAGAAATTTAAGGAAGAAATTAAATACAAAAAATGAAAGGTGTGCTAACGTCTTTTTTTATTTTTGGTGTATTTATATCCAAAAACACGCTCCCCCACTCTCCAGATCAAACTCCTTAAAAACTGACATAAATCAGATGCAGAAACATAGCTTTGTATTGCCGCAGCCTGTCTAGCACAGACAATGTGTAGATGCTGCTGCACTTTTGCTGTCTGTACTTCAAATTCAAACTCCAAGGTGTGATTTAAAACACAGGATTCCACCAAACACTGAATCAATAGCATTGGTGGGAATGATCCTATGCGATTCCTGTAGAGTATTATGGATTACCCAGCTTCTTTTTGGCCTCTTCGAAAGCTTGCTCGAAGTGCAGCCTGGCATCTGGGCTGCTGAATTCAAATATGAAGGACTCGGTGCCGTCAGCCTTGGTGGTGGTCAACTCCACTTTGTTTGGCGGGAATGACATAGAGTAGGAGAGGGACTGCTTTTCCGCCAGCTCGCGATGCACAGAGGCCATCATGTCTTTGATGACATCATCAAGGCTCTGCCAAAACAAGAATGTATTACACAATAGAGAAATACAGTAATCTAGCTATACAGAGGAGCTGTTCACCATTAAAGTAGATGTAAATGCTAATTGTGTGTTCTGTGTATCAATATAAAACACTTTATTTTATTTGCTGTTGCATCTTAATGTTACTGATGTCTTGCAGCCACTTTCAGTCTGCATGCACTCCCGCTATAGCTTCAGGCATTTTTAGGCTGGGTTTCTTGATGGTGACAACAGTGGACCATGCCAGTGAAATGAGTGATGTGTAGAGTGCAGAAAGGTAATTAAAAGTGAGTTGGGGTGCGCTTTCAAGAGACTCTCACTTTGTTCAGAATTCTTCCTTTAGACCACAACAGAAAAGCAGCACAAAAAAACATATCATGGTGAAATGGCTCCTATCATATGACTAGCCATGCAAGCTCATGTGGGGAAAGGTATTGGAACAGTGACTCTCTAGTCACTGACAGCTACTGAGGGTTGTATAAAACTATAACCTGTGTATATGTACTCCTAAACTGGACAGCCCATAGATCATGTGTCAAATGCAAGGCCCATAGGCTGAATGAGACCCCCCAGGGCATTTCATGTGGTCCTCGCACCTCACCTGCAGGCAGCTGTGGTACCCCCTTCCTCTCTGCCCCATCTTATCTCAGCAGTCAGCAGCAGAGAAGAGGACAGGACTCCTCCGCCAGATCCATTGATTTCATGCAGCCATGGAGAGGATCGTCTTTTGCCCCCCCACCTCCCATTCCCTCAGCAGTTGGCATAAGAAGACGTCGGAACTACTTCTACAGATCCTGAACCTATCTGTGCGGCTGCATGACTCTCTCATCTCTACCTCTCCTGGTCTCAGCATTCAGCAGACTCCAGCAGCTGACTCCATCCCTCCTCTGGTCCTTCTCCATACACTGTACTTTCTGCTTCCCAGCTCCCCCCAGCAGCAGCACAAGGTAAGGGAGGTGCACTGTGGGGTAGTGGGGTGCTCTGGAAATCTAATCCTTCAGATGCAACTGACCCTTTGAGGGCAATCATAATACTCATGTGGCCCGCAATGAAACTGAGATTGATGCCCCTGCCATAGATGATCTAGGTATTTTCGTTTAACCAGCAAGTTAAAGGATAAGTTGACCCTTCAAAAAAAAAAAAAATAATAATAATAAATGCACATTTTAATGCAGGCAAAGAATGTGCATTTATTTTTTGCTGTAGGAGTCTGTAAGGCATTGCACCAGTGATCAGCAGATTGCTAATGCCATGCAGGACTCCTGCAGACCTGTCAGTGTATCTGATCGCTTGTACCTCGTACGGGCAAACCGATACTTACCGATAGAAAGACAAGTCAGTCATTCATAACATGTTACATTTTACACCTTGTATATGGATATAACATGTAATGAAAGGTGAACATATCCTTTAAATGAAAAAAAAAAATACTTAATTCTCCCACCCCCACACTCGATAAGGATGGGGGAATCCTCCTTACTGAGCCACTATATTTTGTTCCCTGTTGAATCAGACGAACTTCGATCCATGTATAAAATAAGTAGATGTGAGCGCACAAGAGGTAGAAGCAGCTGTGCACAAGGTAACCATATGAAACCTCTAGAAGACAGTATAAATTTGATGTGCAGTGCTAAAAATAATTGTAATGAAAGTTAAAATCAGAAATATGATCTAAAATGACATATATGCAGTTCATAAAGTGACTTGAAGTGCTCCAATATTCCTATATCCTCCTGAGGACAAGATACTGTGCATACAGGTGTGTAAGGAATGCGCACTCACCAGAACGCGTAAGTTAATGAGCGTTTGTATATTATCTCCTGATGTCATCTAATGGTCTGGGTAATGCCGGAATCCAGTAAACTCCCTCATGTGGTCCTGGGACTTAGTAGCAGAGCATCAGGATGGTCCAGAGTTCCCCTTAGGGGATAGATTTGCGCAACTCTCAAGGTGTTATGGAGGCTCCCTCTCTGGTGGTCAGGTGGAGGGTAGCTGTAAATTAATACTCCCCAGGGGAGATAAGGCAAAGACATCTCCATAGTGTAGTACTGGTAAGAATTTATTGAAGCGTATGCGAATATCCAAGTATATATACAGCTAAAGGAAGCAGAGTAACTGTAACATGGACGGTTTGTTTTAGCTGTATATATACTTGGATATTCGCATACGCTTCAATAAATTCTTAACAGTACTACACTATGGAGTTGTCTTTGCCTTATCTCCCCTGGGGAGTATTAATTTACAGCTACCCACCACCTGACCACCAGAGAGGGAGCCTCCATAACACCTTGAGAGTTGCGCAAATCTATCCCCTAAGGGGAACTCTGGACCATCCTGATGCTCTGCTACTAAGTCCCAGGACCACATGAGGGAGTTTACTGGATTCCGGCATTACCCAGACCATTAGATGACATCAGGAGATAATATACAAACGCTCATTAACTTACGCGTTCTGGTGAGTGCGCATTCCTTACACACCTGTATGCACAGTATCTCGTCCTCAGGAGGATATAGGAATATTGGAGCACTTCAAGTCACTTTATGAACTGCATACATGCCATTTTAGATCATATTTCTGATTTTAACTTTCATTACAATTATTTTTAGCGCTGCACATCAAATTTATACTATATTCGATCCATGTATGGCTGGCTTTAACCTCTATGTTTGTACAGATTTCCAAACAGCAAATCCTGTGCAGAACTTATCTACATTGCTAATCATCTTCTGTGACAACACCATGCTTGTTATGTGTTTTGCTGGCTGTGTCTAGACGCAGAGGTGTACACTGGAATTAGACAAAATTCTAATTAGGTTTTTGACCCGTGTTGCTCTATGCTGTTCTACAACCGTTCCTGAGTAAAACAAATGACTTGTTTATCTGTCCTGTTGGCAGATAGAAAAAAGTGTTTACACACATGGAGTAAGCACTTTGGCGTGTTTGTATATGGAATCATCTGCATGGGCCAATTACCATCAGTGGGTGGCTCACTACAGGCTGACTCACATGAGAAAAAAAAAAAAAAAAAGCTGCTTCGAAAATCCTTACCAAGCAGAAGGGGATTTGTTCGTACAAAGGGCCACACACACTCCTAGGAAGTTATAAGTCAAGGGTGTTCAACTCATGGCCCAAGAGATTCAGCATGCGGCCCGTGCATGTGTGGAGGGACACTGTGCAAGCATAGAAGCCACAGTGGCTGACAGGGACAAGCTAGGCACATGCATGTATGGAGGGATGCCATGCAAGCACAGCAGCTGCAGCGGCACAGGCATGTCCAGAGGGATGTTATGTTTGTAATAGCACTGGCAGCAGCAAATGCATGGACTCCTGAAAGTGCCAGGCAATAAATGTCACATGGCTGTATCTAGGGGGTGGTGGGGTGGGCTGTGCCCTCCCAGATTTCAGCTGTGACCCCAAAGCCCCCTGCTCAAAACCTCCCCTCTATCTCCCCACACAGCACATACCAGGGTTACCAACCATCATAAAATTCAAGAACAGTTTAAAATCTATGATTTATACATCTCTCCATGAATGTGTGTCTGTGACAGACATGCAGTCTGCATGTCCATATTGGACATTTACAGACAGATGCAAAAATTACGGATTTTACAAACTATCTGTGAATTTACTGACAGTTGGCAACCCTGGCACACAGTCTACAGTTGAAATCCAATCCCCTTATCTATTATTTTTTAAATTCTAGCATGGATTCCACATTGCAAAATAAACCCACAAAAAAAGACAAGTTGCGGATGAAGGAAGATTGTACTAGGAAATGTATTACTCACATAGGTACATTATCTTTATGAGTTATCTTTAACTTGTGATATGCTCAAACTGTTCTGCTCATCGGCTATCCTTATTCTCAATCATGGGAGGACTGACCATTTGGAAACTCGGGCAGTGCCCGAGGGCCCAGGGTCAGTAGGTGGCCCCATGAGATGTCCCTGGTACCTTTTTCATAGGCTTTTTTGAGTTTGGGCAAGGACACAGGGGTCCCATGATCCCCTATTGCCCGGGGGCCCCATGAGTTGTCAGTCCGCCCCTGTTCTCAATGTATTTATGCGTGGCCTAAGACAATTCCTTTTCTTCCAATGTGGCCCAGGAAGGTCAAACAGTTGAACACCCTTGTTATAAGTAATGCAACCAGTTCAGGCATCAGATGATTGGGTAGCAATCTGTCAATGTCAGAGATAAAGACAACAGATGCACTGGAGAGTGCATATAAACAACTTTTTGAAAGATGAATTTAGTATAAAAGGCCCTCCCAAAAGGGAAGCTTACCACAAGGTTGAAAGCCTCACTACTATCCTTCCTAAAATCTCCAAACTATCACTCAGAGATTCCAGCAGGAAGATGAACAAAGAGTGGACGTCAAAGCTGGAACAGACATTGGAAGGGTGAGTTGCTAATCACACCAACTTGCCCAGGAATAACAAGCCTCTGTTAAGGGATCAAGGTGAGGCTTACCTTGCAGAAAGAAAGGAACCTCCACTTTCCGCATTTTGGGACACAACTTCTTCATCAAACATGTTGGCCAAGTGAAGAAGTAGCCTGATAAAGGGTCTCTGCCCCAAAACAGATCAGTGGAAGTACCCCTCTCTCTACAAAGTAGAGAGAGGGGTACCTCCACTAACGTATTTCAGGGCACAGCCCTTTCATCAGAAAGTTAAAACATGTTGACCCAGTCAAGACATTTGTCTGATGAAGGGGTTGTGCCCCAAAATGCATCAGAGGAGGTACCATCTCTGCAAGATAACCCAACTTATCCACTTAACAAATGTCTATTATTCCTGGGCAAAATTGGTGTGATCAGTGGCTCACCCCTCCAGTGTCTATTCCAGCTTTGACATCCACTGTCTGTCCCTCTTCCTGCCGGTATCTCTGAAGGATAGTTTGGCGATTCTAGAAAGAACATGGTTGTTGTGAGGCTTTCATATGCTTGTGATCAAGCCTTTATTTTTTAGCCCTTTTTTATATAACAGGTCAAGGATTAAGGTCAATGGAAAGACTGGGTTATCAACAATGGAAGAGAGTACAGGCAGATGTTTCCCCTCTCTCGGGACTGCTACCTGATCTTCACAGAAAAGGTGGCACGGAGATTTCTCCAAACACTGGACAAACCTTTTTCTTTCAGGGGGCATGGTTGCACAGATTCCTCCTAGAATTAAAGGAGGAAGCATCTGTTTAATGGTCAATTATTGTCTCACCTGGTGAGGAAAGCTGAGAGTTTCTGACAGTTTGCTGATTTGCCCCATGGTGCTAAGATCTTCATCCAGTCGGCTGATAATCTTCTGAATACTGTCTCGATTCGAGGCTTGGGATGTCCCTGAGTAAAGAGATTATATTTTTAATATTAATGGTTTAAAAGTTTTTTTTGTTACAAGGCTATAGATAGATCAGTGAATACAAACTGGTGCTTGAAATCTAAATCCCAACAACCATACCATTTTATTTATTTTTTGGGGATTTCAGGTATAGAGGGGAAATGGTTTACTTCTTCATTGCTGTCTGTATGTCCATTCAATAATCTTTATTGAAATGTTCCAAGTGAAGGTATACAAACATTTCATATAGATACACCAGCATTGAAAGCTGTACAGGGATCATGAACAGCCAACTTACATTTAGCTACATCAATCAGTCATAAGGCATATAGAACAGTACAAAATAAAGCATAATTCACTTCTAAATGTGACTGGCCTTTTTTCAGATATTTAAAAATCCAGAGGGAGAGAGATAGGATACAGACAGAAGAAAAAGGGTCGGGGAGGGTTGAGGGGTCTGTACCAGGAGAACAGGTCAAGCCATGGGTAGCCTTTCGTGCAGGACCTATATTTTTTTTTAGTGAGCAGGTGTCTGTCAATTTCTGAAGGTAGATAGAAATAGATCCACAGGGACTACATCTGTTTTTAAAGAAGGCCAATCTATCATCATACATCACAGTCATTCTATCATTGAGCAACATCCAGGAAACCCTGAATCTGAGAACCTGAGAATGGAGGTCAGCAGACTTCCAGATCTTTGCTATAGTTTGGTGGCTGTAAAAATTAATGAAAGGAAGGGAGGGCTGGGTGGAAGAAAGGAAGGGAGGGGCGGATGGGTGGGGTGTAAGGGGGGAGGGGGAGGGGAAGGGGAAAAAGGGGATGGATGGGGGGGGGGGGGGGGGGGATGAAAAGGGGAGGGAGGGGGAAAAGGGGGAAGGGGGGGAGGGGGAAAAAGTGGGGGGAAGGGAGGGGGAGGGGGGGGGGGAAGGGGGGGGAGGGATGGGGGGGGGGGGGAAGGGGGGAGGGGGGGGGGGGGGGAGGGTGGGGGGAGGGAGGGGGAGGGGGG